TTACTCAAAATTAAGAGATGAGATAGTATTATCTTTTATTTCTTGACAATGTAAAACAAGCTGCATTCCTATCTAGCAACTAGAAAGTTTCCAAAAGTCTTTTTTAATAAATTTTTATAGTGTACAAATTGCTTTGTAATAAGCACACAACTCCTAAATCTGCACAAATACTTCATGAGAGGCATAATTCAAGATAAACATTATACATGTATATATGGACACACCAAATCCTTTATGAGCACAAGAAACAGGAAAAAAAAATTTGCAAAATATATTCATCAGTTTATGTTGATAATAAAGTTTCTTTTTAAAAAGAATTGGCCTTAATAGCTCATCACATTTGTTCCAATGAAATACCTGATGCATAGACAAACCTGTTCTAAGGGATTCAATGTATGTAATCTAAGATGACACAATGCTATTTACAAATTCCCTAATCATTAATAGGCTAATTTACCAGGAAATCAGTTTGTTAATACAAATTAATAAGCAAAGGACAAGGAGCATCTCATATGTAAGAAATCTTTCATCAATAAGTCTGAGTTTGTCCTCTAACTTGGTTTCATCAAGTATTGAGAGGTAGATCAGTTTGCAAATAGCAGGATTATGGAGCCCATTCACAGATAAGTATGGTTATCTAAAGGTAACAAAAGAACTCCAAGCCTAATTTTTCTCATTCAGTGATTATGCCTTGGCATACTTACACACACACACACACACACACACACACACACACACACACACACACAATTTTGAACTCAATTAATTTTTTTCCTTTCTTTAAGCAAATATATAGGTAGATGGGTATATGGTTAAAGAATAGCCAAAGATGTAAGTACGATACTACTAGTTGGACATCTTAGTGCCCTAATTTTTACTTTTCTCAGCTTCCTGTAATCCTATGAAATAAATTATGTCTATATAAACTAAAATTGGTAAAAAAAAAAACATAAGGTTTTATAAAGGCCTTTTGGGAATTTAACCATAATAATTAGAAGGCAACAGTGAGCCATTTCTTTTCATGTATAGATAAAGCTTTATTAAAATGAATTATCTGGCGTTGGGGCTGGGGCTCAGCGGTAGAGCGCTTGCCTTGCACACATGAGGCACTGGGTTAGATCCTCAGCACCACATAAAAATAAATGAAGATATTTTAAAAAATGAATTATCACATTTTAGTATCATGCATCAAAATTAGCTGTCCTAAATATATTCTAAATCCCTAGTACTCTTCCTGGCTCTGGGGCATCATTTTCTTCCTAGATAAATTAAGTTCCCCAAACAAAACCTTCTTTAAAGTTAAAAAAAACTGGAATTTAAGCAATATTATATGCTTTTTAATATAAAATAAAAATAAAATTTGGGCTGGAGTGTGCATCAGTGGTAGAGCACTTGTCTATCATGTTAAAGGCCCTGGGTTCAATTCCTAGGACCACAAGGGGAAAAACAAAAAGGAAATAAAAACAAACCAGGTGAGGTGTTAGATTCTCAGGTAGAGATTATGTCACTGCACCATACAAGATGATTTTATTTAAACAAATAATTAAATATAACTTTCTGGGATAAAAATAATATGTTGTATTTCTGTTATTATACAGACTTTTAAATAAAATCCACTGAAATATTACCATGATTAAGTGACCTGATTGGTAAAGATTCTCTTTGGAACCATATTATAGTCACTTGGTGGCCTTTGTCCATAAAGGTATTCACTTGTGCTCATCAGCATAAGAACAGGACAATTAAAGGCTCCATTCATTCAAAGAAGTTGACTGAAAATTAGTGTAATATTTAGGAATATTATAAACTGCTAGAACAAACTAGCAAAATTGAAAATGAAAAGATTGTGAATATAAATGTATTCAGGAAGAAACAGAGGGGGGGAAAAAGAAGGGAAGAAGAAAGAGAAGGGAGGGAAGAAACCATTCCAGATTCCAGGAGAAGAAAAGAGTATGATGACTTCCTAATACTTAATGTAAACATATGTAAAATGTTGGAATCCTTCAGTTTTCCTAATAATGTATAGAAAGGGACTCCACTGAAGCACTGAACTGACCCTTAGTGTGTTACTCTATGGCTTACTCTTTGGAAAAATACAGGTTATAGTTATGTATGTATGTGGGATAGGTGATTTGAAATTACCTATCAAACAAAGAAGACTGGATTGATGATGTGGAGTTGACATAAATTCAGATAGTCTTAATAATTTTTGAAACATAGAAAGTGAAAATATGGAAAATAAAAAAGAAAGGGGCAAAATTTTCTCAAGTTGTTTAAAAGGGAACAATTATATACTCATAACTATACATTTGACGTAAAACCTCAGACTAAATAAGTAAATGTTATAAAGGAGCACAAGAACAAATCATGCCAAGCTCACCAGATGTTCTGAACAAATCATGTTGTGTTATCAGTTAGGTTATATGGGGGAGTAGATAAATATACCTTATAGTCAGCAAGGAATTTAAAAATACATATTAAATATCTTGTGAATAATGTAGTTAACTGAGGTTGTACTGTTGGATGGTTTTTCAGCTTTACCATAATGTCAATTAACTGTGGTGTGCCTCACTTGGGGGGAAAAGACTCTAAAAGTACCACACTGCAGTTTTAACAGTGGCTCAATATAAGTGACAAAAATTTTCAGGTGACAAAATACTGGAACCAGTAAAGCTAAAAAGAAGAGGTATGATGATAAAAAGTTAAGTCAAACTGCATCAGGCACACTTAGAATCATAATACATATTTGATGAAGAAAATGAGTTCATTAATTGAACCAATAATTGAGGTTTACTGAGATTATTGTCCCACATTTTAAGTAAAAAAAAAAAAAAGAAAACATAAATAGCATACCGGTAGTGAGATTTTATTTCATCTCACATATTGAGATCTTCTCTCTTTTAATTAAAATTTTGAAATTCAAACTCTTTGAAAACTGAGAGTTTTGTCCTAAGTTTCTCACCAAAATACACTTCAAAGCAAAACCTGAGAAAAACTTTAGTCTTTATTTTTTCCACTTGTAATAACTAATATAATTAATATATTATAGCAAAATGCCTAAATAACGTGATTATGAAATGTTGTTTTATATATGATATAGACTATATCAGACTCCTAAAATTAAAAAATTTTTGAATTTGAAATAATTTGACCTCAATATTTAGAATAAAAGTCTTTGAAATCATCATAAATAAAAAGCACAAACAAAATGCTGAAAAACAAAAGAAAGAAATACTTAAAATAATAGAAATGGAAGCATTACTCATCAATTATAGAAAAATAAATAGCAACATGCTGGGGCAACATGTGGAATATTCTATAAGAAGAATGCTAAATTTATCTTGTGTCTAACAAAGTGCCTGGTACATGTTAGGCACAGGATAAATATTTGTTGAATGAATGAATGATTATAGTGCATGATTTTAAAAAGCAAATATGCCAATTTATCCAAATTCAAAACTTTCCTCTATTTCCAGCTAATCTTTCTGATTTTAACCTCCAACCCTGAGACTATCTAGCAAGCCACCACTCCCTAGGTACTTAGCTGCCTCAGTGACCAATCTCTACCTGTTGAAAACTACCTATTTTCTAAGACAGGAAACGTATATTTATAAAGAAGCTTTATCTAGTCTTTCCAGGAGAGTTAATCTCTTCTACTACAGTATGTCCAATATACTTAAATATATATCCAATATAAATATAAATTCCAATGTAAATCTTATTTTTGTGCATGTCTTGTCTTCCAAACAAATTTTAGATTTCTTAAGAGCAAAGGCGATTCTGTACCACGCCCCTCATTTTTTATCTAATGCCATTATTTATGCCTATTTATAACTCAAAAATTATCAAAACTAAAAATTATCAAAATTTATTAAAAATGTATAAAAAATTATCAAAATTAGTATGAATGATGAAAGACTAACTAAATTTTACTCATGATAGTTAAAAGAACATACAAAGTTCTGGCAAGATAGTTGGGAGGGCTGCTAGTTTTATCTCCAGGGCTAGCTCAACATAGGCTAGCACTTCATAGGGTGAAAATCACTGAACAAATGAAACAGTTTCTAATCCCAGGAAAGAAAACTAAGATGCTGCATGAACAATATTTAAAGCAAAATATTTAAAGTAAAAGTCTAACATGTTATAGAGGAAGAGAAATTATTATATGTTGCATGACTCCAGATCACACACGAATTTAAACAAAGGCATGAAATCTCATTATATAAAAGTTTCTATTAAGAATCATAGTGAATTGGGCTGGGGATATGGCTGAAGCAGTAATGTGCTCGCTTGGCATGCGCGGGGTGCTGGGTTCGATCCTCAGCACCACATAAAAAATAAAATAAAGATGTTGTGTTCACCGAAAATTGAAAAATAAATATTAAAAAATTCTCTCTCTCTCTCTCTCTCTCTCTCTCTCTCTCTCTCTTTAAAAAAATTATGAACATTATTGTGTTTCTCAAAGAAACCCAACCATTATTATATATGAAGAAGTTGGGGAGAAATTTTCTTACATTGATACAATAGAGAATAGTGTAAATTATTAAAGAAATTCTAAAACTTAGGGTAATTCTAGCTAAATTTTCAATATTAAAAAAAGACTTAAAAAATACATATGTATATATACCTGTGTGTGTCTGTACCCATGTATCACTAGTACAGATTTTTACACTGCTTTAGAGATATTCTCCCTTACAAAGAACTTATTTATTAAAGCAACTGTGGTTGAGATATTTTCTGTAGGTCTCATTGCTACTACATGCTAAAGAAAATCCTCAGCTACTCATTCCCAGTCTGTTGTTCCCACCAGATAAAAAACTCAGAAATGATGTCTTCAAAGGCATAAGTATGCATTCAAATGATCACAGTTATTGTGAATTACTTGAAAAGGGACTGGTGAAAGCCTGTAGATGGGAGATGCGCTCTAACAGTTACCTGGTAAGCAGCCTATATAAAGGAAATCTGTTCTAGGTAATGCTAACCCCTTCCTTGCATGGAAAAAGGGCTTTAACATTAATTCCGCAGAATATTCCAGTACTTCCATTATCCTGGTACAGCAGTCAACTGTTTCCCAGCACATTCCCCTATACAAACCTCATCTCCTTCCTGAGGTCGCATCAAGGAAACCCGGTCATACTGCCGCCGCAACAAAGCCCAGAGTGCATCAAGAGGACCCTAAAGAAAATGCGATTTGTTATTCTATTTACTGAAAAAGTGAAAAAGTAAAGCAAAGAAGGTAAGTCTTATTCTCTACTTTCATTTTTTTCTCACAAATTAAACAAACAAAATCTCGGAGGTTCTTATGATGAGAAAGTGTTTAGTTGTTAGAGTGTAAAATGAATACTCATTTTACAATGATCAAGCTGCTACTTGATCCACCATAGGCCTTCTTCAAATGATGGGGGACTGTAAAAGCTTTAGTTTCTCTAGGAGACTTAAGTTCAATTACACAAAATTAGGATACGTACCTTAATTGGCGCGTACCACTTTGTCTGTGGTGGCTGGTAAGTGGGTTTGGGCCTAGGTGGCCTAGGCCTGACAGGTTCCTCTTCTTCAGGAATCTTCACCACGGCATTTTTGGCTTTCTCTAACCTTGCACCTTCCTCAGTAGATCCTTTATCACCCCAGCGAACCTATAAAACAAAGGGGACACTGCTGTCAGAGAGAAAGTGGCCTAAAGGAACAAGCTCTTCTGTAGCCCATGATCCTCTGGTTCACTAGCTCAGAGTAAAAAGATGAATCAGTACATCAATTCCTAATGTCTACTCTTCCAAGACTTAATAGATTTCTGGACACTCCCAATTATATTGATTATTAAGATCCTTCCTAGACAAAAAGATTCTTTTGAAAATCTAAAGTCAATTAAATTTGAAATAACCTTTCTCCACAGTTTCAAAAAAGGACCCAATTTGGGGTTTACATAAAATGCATGACAGTGTGTATTTCTGTTTTTTAATTAGGTAAGTTAAACTGATAATGATGACAGCATTTACTGAGTTACTGCTGTGTCAGTCTGCATTTAATTAACACAAAAATGCAATGAGGGCTGGGGTTCTGGCTCAGAGGTAGAGCGCTCACCTAGCATGTGTGAGGCCCTGGGTTTGAGCCTCAGTACCACATAAGAATAAAATAAAGATATTGTGTCCACGTATAACTAAAAAAATAAATATTAAAAAAATGCAATGAGACAGATACTATTTCCTTCCAGATGAGGTTAAGAGATGTGCCCCAAACCATACAACTAGTACATGGCAGGGCAAGGATTTAAACATAGGCAATCTGAAATGGGTTAAATTTCAAACAAACCTGAATTTTATAAATGTATTTTATAAGGAGGAGCTATTTATTCAGATTTTTTCATCAAGTTAAATAAAGGCAAAATTTTTTATTTAAACATTTAGCTTTTGAAAATAAAGTAAGTATGTGTGAGATTACTTCTGTAAATTTTTACTTGGTAGAATAGCTTTTAGTCTTTAGATGAGCATAAGCTCATCTCAGTATGATTATTGGACAAGCAAATTTTTCATTAACAAAGATGAATTGGAAAAATCTCTGCTTTGAAGAGAATATTTCAAAGACACCAAGTAATTCCACAAATTTTAGGGAATTTCCTGAAATCTCTTCTCTGAAATCTCTTGACTTTGAAAAACCACCAGATCAAATTATTGTTTTCTTTATTTTTTCAGTGAACAGAAATTAAGAGATAAACCTGAATCAAACTAGGCATATGAATAGGATGTGGCCCCTGGGGAAGGACTTTGTCCAAAAGGAAGTAGAGAGAAGTCTTACAAAAACATTACCAAAGTCAATGAAGATAAGAAAAGTCAATTTCTAAAAAGAAATACAAACACCTATCCAGAGCACAGTATGACATACCACAGCTAAGTGATTTCTATAAAGGAAAAAAACATTAAAGTCTTTTAAAGCATTTTAATGACCTGAATTAATGGGTAGGGATACAGATGATTATTGTTCATAGAAAGAACTATTCAAAGCTTTTTGGTAAGGCTTACAGAGATGTTTTTACTTTTTTTTTAACTACAATTTTAGAATGGGCTTTCAATTCAAGTGGACCCTGTTCAGTCATTAAAATGTATCTGTATCTTTCAGTGTGATCAATGGTACTAGAATGTTCTTTATGAGGTTGTTAAAATTGTTTTAAACGCCATTAAACTTATTGAGCTAGATAGCAGGCTTTCTTTCCAGAGAAATGACCTTCTCTTTCAAATCACAGTGTCTTCACCTAGATAAACTAACACTTATAAAACCTTTGGACATGAATAAAACCAGAACACATTCCCCACAGATATAAAGTTGCAATGTTGAGGAAGAAACTAAAGCAAAAATAAAAACTCAAAGCAGATATACAGTTAACATAAGAATGTCATAACTCAGGGAAGTAATTCAGAGTAGAAATGTAAGTAGATAAAATGCAGATTCACTCATAAATGATAGATTTTAACATATACAGTTCCCTAGCCTATGCTTCATAGTTGATAATCATAAAGGTCAACTATTAGTAGAACCATTCTCAAATTAAAATGTGAAACTAGTTGAACTAGCGTTCTGAACCAATGTGGCACTTCCAAGGTCTCATTATCAAAGGACTATACATAGGACACAGAGCTGATGAGGTCTAAAGAGATGAATCAGATAAATTCATTAGCTTTAGTTCACAAGGGAGCTGTGCTTCACCATCACCATCAGCACAAACATCACCACAAACAAATATCACTCAGTCTCAAAGTCTAAAACTAGGAAATACTTGTAGAGGTTTCCTACAACTCCTAAAATTAAGAATCCATACACATATGTATATGTGTAAATATTAATGTTTTAGTTTGATCACATTGAGATAGTTTAAAAATATAAAAGAATAATAGGAGTAGGTTGCCAGAGTGAGCCTGAGAAGAATTAAAGATATTTAGGGTTTTTAATATGGAAAAAAAATAGCTTGCTACTTAAATTCACCTGTTGAGCATAAGTTAATTGCTATAGTTTGTATGTGCAATGTCCCCTAAAGGCCCAGGTGTTAAAGGGTTCATCCTAAGCTTAGGGCTGTTGGAAGGTTGGAGGGACCCTTAGGTCAGAAGAAGTGTGCCCTCCAAGGGGAATATGGGACATTCATCTCTTCCTCTCTCTTTTTACTACTTGGCAGCTTTCTCTACAATACACTCCCTACCCAGATGTTCTGCCTCAACACTGACCCAAAAGTAACAGAGGGTACTGACCATGGACTGAAACTGTGAGCCAAAATAAACCTTCCCCCTTTTAAGTTAATTTACCCTGGCTATTTCTTATGTTAATATAAATCTAACAGAAACTATTCTTCCATTTCACTAACGTTCTATTCAGGGATTCATGCATATTATTTTCTTTAGAACACTGGAATACTGGACTAACAAAAATCTGATATTTCTAATAGCTTCAGCAAGAACACTACTTATTGAATTAAGGCCCACTTAATAATATACCCCTCATTCTCATGTAGTAGGCTACATATTTGGATTTCATATGGATAAAATTTATTATTGTGAATAGAAAAGAATAAATGAGCATTACAAAATACAGAGAAGTATATACCACACATCAAAAATTACTCCATTTGGAGACTCCTACTCACATTTTTTACTGTATCTATCTATTCCCCCAACCCCCCATATCTTGGGATGCAGATAAATAAGCTAAAAGCAGTTCTGTGGTGGGTCATCTTTGGGCATTCATTTGTGAGGACTGTATCTATAAATGCATATTTTACACACATAGGAACATCAGTCCACTCTTGCCCTACTTCCCCATCCCTAGGATGACACCAGACCAAGGCAAAGATAAATAATCCTCCTCTGTGTCAAACAAAAACTAGTGTGACTATGTCCTCTTGGACTGCTGAAATTCCCAATCACCAACATGCAAACATATCTGCAGTATCTTCTCCCAAAGTCCAACTTAATATCTTCTAGCACCTGCCTTTATTGACAACCATGTACCCATCTCAAAGGATATTTCAGCAATGAGTGGCAAGTTCCTAGGGAAAACATGCATTGTTTTAAGACCTAATGGGACTGAGAAATTGAGAATTACTGCCAGTTGATTTGAATAAACACTTTGATAATTATGAAAAGGGAAAACTTTCTTTGGAAATATGAATTTTATAGAAATTTATAAAAAGTGATCATTGCAGCACATGTGGAGTTGTTAATTAGCTTACTTACGATTTTTGTTGGTAGTAATGGGGAAAAGCAGATATGACAATAGGAGACATGAATAATGGAGGAAAAATATATAAATACACCTTCTCATCAAGTAAAATTGGATTATAATTAATAAGCAGGAAATACAAGGATCAGCCTTTAATATTAAAGTCAATGTGTCTATAAGAAAATTCTTCAAATTGTTCCTTGGGATGGGTTGCTGATCTGTCTACTCTGTTGTGCCAGGCATAGCACTGGCAATGATTGCTTCTTATTAACTAATCTATCATTGTGATAAATATTTCATGGTAATAATAAAACCTCATTTTTGAGGTGTAGGTGGATAACTCAGAGGCTCTGGACCACTGAGCCACATCCCCAGCCCTATTTTGTATTTTATTTAGAAACAGGGCCTCTCACTGTGTTGCTTAGCTCCTCACTATTGCTGAGGCTGGCTTTGAACTCACAATCCTCCTGCCTCAGGCTTCTGAGCAGCGGGGATTACAGGCATGCGCCGCCATGCCCCATCTCATTTGATTTTTAAAATGCAATATTAAAGTTCGACTTTAATCCACACTTTGAGCCATTCTGAAAGTTCACACATTCTCTAAAAGATATGTAATATTAATTAGAATAGTTCGTAAGCAATAATTAAATGCTGTTGTAAGTTTTCTATATTTGGGATAAAGTCATATCCGTGCTGGTGAATATTTTAACATTTTCTCCACAAATAGTACGTAACTATTGGACCTTTTCAAAGAAGAGTACTGTTACAACTTTAAGTGATTTCCTTCTTCAAAGTTGATGTTCCATGCAGCAATTTTTTCCAAAACAGTGAGAAAAACCCTAGCATTTTTTGCCTTTTAGAATTCAGTGATCTTATCAATGCAAGCCTTTGACTAGGGAAACCAGTTCTCAAATGGGTTTGAAATGGCTAGGGTGATTTCATAGGGGAAAAAAATGTATTCAGAAAAGACCCAGTATTAAGAAAAAATGAATGATATTCTGAATACTGAAATGTGAAAAGCTAAATTTCTCTAGCTTAATAGTTTTAGAAATACATATTTTATATTATCAACTTCTATTTTTTAAAATATACTAACCTCCATTCTCTTAATTCCTCCAACCCCTCGACCACCATAATAAGAAGCATCCACAGTTGGCCATTTCTTGTTAGGTAAAGGTTCTTCTTCTTCCTATAAAAATATATTTTTAATATAAGCTTAATTAATTTTATAAAATAGTGTTTAGTCAGAAGTGGCTCATATTTAAACATTTTAAAAATAATGCCATCATTATGGAAAATGAATAAAAATTATATACAGAACATCTATGTGTATTTATGTTTACAAATATAAAATTCAAGTGGAATTCTAAAAGGTATGAAGACTCCTTCCCTTCCTCAAACTTTAAGTACCTCCCCACATCCCTCCTAGGTTATCAGAAGTTGTTGTTTTTTGTTTTTTTTTTAACTCTGAGCATCACTTGTTTATTGCAAATCTATTCATCAATTCATACTTAAAATATAAAACATTAAATTTAGGACAACATTTCAATAATCAAGCATCAATGTGTATATATAATTTGAGTTCTGTAGAACTTTTAGTAGAAAGATAGACAGTTGAGAAACTTTGCAAATGCAACCAGTACCTTCGTTAACCTATGTTGCTAATATGATTTTCACTAACAAAGTATTATTAAAGCAATAATCCACCTGGAGAAGGTAATAACATCCTCACACTGCCATCTTGGATTGTCCAACATTTTATAAATAAGTGACATTAAGGTCTATTAATATATTGCTATAAAAAGTATAGTCTCTACATACTACTGATCCTGATGACCAGTCTGTGTCTATCAATGTATGAGGACCTCATTCCTCCAGCACATAAAGGAAGTCATAAGACGAAAAATGACAATTGATTTTCATAAAGTAAAGAGTCAATACTTAGATGTCAGAGCTTTTTAAAAACAAATGGAATTGATTATATTTGGGGATGGTATCTATATGGAAAAAGACCACACATATCCTTTTCCTAGGCATTCATTTACCTCTTTTGGTGCAGGTGGTGGTGGTGGAGGAGGATCCTTGATAACCTGTATACAAAATAAAATGTAAATGTGTTATGACACAGGCATGGGAAAGTAAGAATGTATAAAAATAAATAGATTGGTAAAATACTTCAAAGATGTCCCCAAAGAACCTTGCCTCATAATATTTATGTCCTTCCTCTTAAATCTGGGCATGTCTATAACTAGCTTTTGACCATCAGAATGAGGTAGAAATGGTCATGATAACTGAGGCTAAGTCAAAAGGTTTTTCACCTTTCTGCACATCATTGGAACACACACTCAGAAGGCTACCCTGAGACCATCAAGCTGTAAAGAAGACCACTGGAATCTTAAAGAAAGGTCAAGTGGTGATGGAGAGATACTAGCTGCCCCCAGCTGTTTTAGCCACCCCAAAGGATGAGCCAATTATATGAGAGAAGAGTTGATCTTGGACACAGTCACACTGAGCTTTCATATGACATGGGCTTAACTGACAGCTGACTGCAATTGCATGAGATTCCAAGCAATCGTCTCCTTGCTGAGCCAGTTTTATCCACAGAATTGTGACAAAACTAAATTGCTGCTAGAATTCAGCTGCTTTTTACAAATTGACGTTTTAGCCAAGGCTCCATTCCTATAAATCATTGTCATCAAATTTTATTTGAATTATAGTTAATGCTTCTTGTGAGAGGAATAGACCCTACACCTAATTGAAAATGAACTTCACTGGTCCTGGGATATCTGGACTTTCACTTCATCGTGATAGAAAGTCTTGATCAAATGCCAATGGCTTTTGATAATTCAGAACCATAACCAAGTCTCTATTCTAAGAGGAAAAACTAAAAATGTAAATATTTATCTTCATCTAATGCCAAATATTTCAGTTACATCATTAAATTTTTAAAAACTTAAAACTACTATGACTTTGAAGATGAGGTATTATTGAATATATTATTATTTATCATGGCTATATTTTTAAAAGACTTTTAAAAATCTTGTAAAGGTATACATAAATATTTTCAGAAGAAAATAGTATAATTCTGATTTAAAAAAATAGTTTGGAATGGGGAAGTGGTAGGGGTATGGATGGAATAAAACTCACAATAAACTTGCAGCTGAGTGACATTGTATTAGTCTATCTCTTTGCAAATGCTTGAAATTTTCCATAATGAAAGGGGTTTAAAACTTTAATTTTATTGATAATATTTAGAGAATTGGTCCATAATTTTCAGTGTATATAATTTTTCATTATTCAAATTTTAGATTAGCTCTAAACCTCAGGAGAAATACCCAGAGAGTAACAATTATATAAATAAATATAACAGGACAGTAATTTAATTGGACCAAGTCTCCTTTTAAATCCTACAAGAAATTCTGTTATTTCTATTTAACCCTTTTATTTAGTTCCATTTTATTTTATCAATAAACATAAAATTATTATATGTATATTAAATATTATATAATATATTTATATTATTCTTCTTAATAATATTAAAAGTTAAAAATCTCTGTTTTTTTTTTAGTTATCTCAGAAATAAATGCCTGCAGAGGATTCATATTTAAAATAATACTGGAGTTAAATTTAAGGTTATCAAGCTATAGGTATTTTTCCTTTGTTAAAAGAGGAAGTCCCTTCATATCATTACAAACTTGCATTCCCAGAGCATGTGATGTGTCAGCACTTCAGCAAGATCCAAACCAACTCCCTCATCTTCATTTAAAAGCCAACCCTCCCTCCCTACCTTCCTGTGTCTTTCAAGTTGGTCACTCTTTCCAATTAGAATCTCAAAATCTTAGCATAATCTCTCTCTCACTTTTGAAGGACTCCACCAAATCAATTCTATGTCCAATAGATTCCTTAAAATTCATTCATTCTCTCTCTCTCTCTCTCTCTCTCTCTCTCTCTCCTTTTCTCCCTCCCTCTCTCTCTCCCTTTCCCCTTCCCTGTCTCCTCTCTCCCCATGAATTCCTTATCTTCCCAAAGTAGCTAAGATTTCCTTGATATGGACAGAAAACTCTCTTCTCTTCCCCAACATTTATCAGCATTCATAATGTTATTTAGCTTTAAAAACCTGAAGTTCCATAAGAACCAGTTTTATTTCTGCCTTGTTTCTCACTGCCTTCCCAATAATTCAGTAGATGCCTGGCACAAATTAGACTTTCAAGAAAATAAGAAAGAAGGAAAAAAGAAAAGTTAGGAAGAGAAAAATGAAGGAATTGAAAAAGGGATTAAAAATGAGAGAGAAATAAAAGGGAAGAAGGAAGAAAAGAGAGGAACAGCAGAGAGAGGAAGGACAAGGAAATTTCTACTCCATTCCCACTGTCACTACTTAAAATCATGAACTCAAGATTTTCTGGATCTGAAAAATAGTGAGTACATTTTTCAACTACTCCAATATACACACAAGCAAAACTTCAGTATTCTAAAAAATTCCCACCAAATCATAGTCCAACTATGTTTGGACTGCTGCAACAAAGAGAAATTCACTACCTCACAAAGCAATTCATTCCACTGGCAAGAATTCATCATTTGAAAGTTTTTCCCCCAAATGAAGCCAAAGCTTTCTCTGCATTTTCCACTCTTAAGCCCTGGTCCTAGAGTCTGGAAATGGACATACACAGACACATATAGACAACACACACACACATACACACACACACACACACACACACACACACACACGCACATGCACATGCACACACATACACACACACACACAATTTTTCTTACAGAGAAGAGAAAATCCTACTTTTGAATACTAGGATAATTACCTAATTCTGTTGAGTCTATCCATTTTGGAAGCTAAATATATCAACCATTTCTCATGAAATGATTCTGAGTTATAGGTCATCTTGTTCAGTTTCTTCAATTTACATTAGTCAGTGTCTTAACTGTGGTTCTCAGAACTGATCATTGCATTCTTTAAACATAGGTGAGCCATGATAAATAAATGAATGGTACTCAGACAAAACAGATGTACCTCATCATTCCTCACCTCCCTCTTCTAAGCATCTTAATTAATAATATTGATTAAATTGATTAATAATCTATAATCACTAAAGGCTTCTGGGAGCATTAATGCCTACATGCTGTACATGTAGTTAAATTAAACTTCTAGCTTGTTTCTTTATCACTAACCCAACCCTCATTTTAATCTATGTAACCAGGTCAATATTCTTCTAACAGATGTCTAATCAATCATTTCTTCCATTAAAATGAATTAATAGTTCTAATCCCCATGATTCAAATCCATGAATTACTAAATTTTATTGAAACAAATTTACAAAACATGCTTCCCCTTAGGTTTACAAATCATCATAAAGTGCTCTCTGGACTTTTCTCACTAAAGAAAGATTAATGTATATTCTTCCCATTCCACTAAGACTGAGAATAATATATCTGAACTCATTCTCATTTCATTGTGAGGATTTCAAATCTACTGGCTTATTACCTATATGTCTTGCACAGATATATAAATTTCTGAAGAAACAAATAGTATCCCCAACCCTGATCTATCTTATATCCTCCTAATAATTACTGAAAATCCCCTTCCATAATTTTTTTTGTGTGTGTGTGTCATTATCCTCTATAGCATCTAGGGTGTTACTGGTATGAGAAAATTAAGTTTCAATTTAAAACCCTCACATGACCACTTTGCTTCTGTCAAACTTACAACAGGATCATGAGAGACATCTTTGCAATCCTTCGCTTTACTGGAAATTCTAAGGTAGACAAAAACCAAAGCCCCTTTTTCTGTACATGTACATGATCCAGTATTTCTGTTCTCATTGTTCTAATGTCTCAGCATATACCAGCTGCTCCACAGTTCAGCCCTAACATCCTATCTACAAGCCTTTCTTTACATACACCTTTAGTCTAACCAGACTGATGATACCTCTGCTCCCCTCAAATATAATAAACCATTTCCTAACATGGAGACCTAATGTGGTCTCATCCAGCCTTCCCAGACCAGTCTAACAACTTTCTATTAGTTTATCTAAAAGACTTAGACTTCTCAAAATATATATATTCATGCACAGTTGAGCCATTCATACTTTATTAGTTTGGATTTTAGTACTTATTTTGTGATTTTTAAATTATTCCTTTAAAAGCATAGATTTCTTCCTTTCCTTTCCCCCCCCCTCAAGGATCCACTCATGATAGACAAGAGCTCTTCCACTGAGCTACAACCCTAGCCTTCTAAATTATAAATTTCGTAAGGGCAATGCTCATTTCTCCTCCTTTATTATAAACACCTTGAGTACCTAACAAAGTGCTTTTCAGAGAGCAGATACTGAAAATATGATTCAAAGTGAAACAAAAAGAACTAGGAAAGTTCACAAAGGATCACAGTCAATCTCCAAATTTATAAGTAAAATATTAAGTGAATATGTATATAAATGAGGGATAGATGTCCCTGAAACGAAAATATTGCTAGTTCAAAAAAAAAAAATTAAGCATTAAGAGCTGGGGCGGTGGCACAGTGGCAGAATCCTTGCCTAGTGCTTGAGGCACTGGGTTTGATCCTTACCACTGCATAAAAATAAAACTAATTAAAAAAAGAAAAGAAAAGAAAATGAAGCATCATTTTTTTTCTCTCTCAACCAAGGAAATGAGAGAATTAATGAACTCAATGGCACCTGGGAAGACATAAGATCATCCCAATTTCTTCACCTGGGAAACAAACAAAATTAATTATAGGTCCTTTCTAACAAGAAGATTCTAATAAAATAAAAATATGTATCACAATGTTTCCATCAGGTCTCTTGAGTCTATGCCTTTCCATAACTAAGTGGGGCCATATGTTCCTGTGCATTGTACTCATCTTATTCCAGAAAAGAAACTTAGGATTTGTGTTTTCTAATAACATGTAATTAATCTGATAAATGACTGATTGCATGAAGTTATAAATTTAAAGTGATTTTGAAGTCCAGGAAAGTATATTTTCTACATTGTTAATAATGGAAATAAAGCTCTTAAAGCTCTACCTCAATGAAATTTCAATATAATAAATTAAAAGATATCCCAATGACTTGGGAGGCTG